TTGCAGAGCGTCGTGCGACGCAAATCGGATGCAGTGTGAATTCAACATATGTCGCATCTCTGTAATCTAGGGGTGCGTTCCGTATCGCGCATGATGCGCATGATGCATCCATTGTCTTTGTTTAAAGGCCTGTCTACAATACATGTAGTAAGAAGTAAGAGTAAGAAATTGACCAATCACAGTCGATTATTCTTCTCACATTCGACTGTGATTGGTCAATTTCTTACTCTTACTTCTTACTCCGTGTATTGTAGACGGGCCTTCACATTTGGTGAGCAACAAGGATAATCGACGCATTATGCGCACCATGCGAGAAACGGAACGCACCCTAGGCCTTTAGTGTAAACTAGACCTATAGCCTATATTGTGGTAACACTGTTTTCTTGTGAATTCAACATTCTTCTTGGTCTAATTGTCAACGACATTTCATTTGTTTTGTGTCACATTTCGTAGATTTCTTGTGGCTGCATCGGGGTCAAATTAATTACGTCGAAATGCTTAATCACGTGTTGCGACCGCTCACTCGTAATTTTATCAGAAGTGGTGAGATTTTCCTTATTTTAGAGCCATTCCAATAAAGAGCCTAATCCGTGATACAATCGGTTCTATATCTTACGTAATGTCTGCTATTATATGTATGAATGCCGCTAAATGTTATTCCATGTAAATCCATGGCGATAATAATAAATATAAAAATCCTTTGCGCTCGTCTGTAATGATAAATTCTTTAATTAAGTTTTCTACCAATTACTTTAGATTTGTGAATTTAAAAAAATAATAAATTGTGAATTATAAGAAAATGCTCTTGTAAAATTACAAAGTTACGTAATTTATTATAAAACGTATTCTTTGCCTAACATTAAACTTTATGATTTCTGATTTTCCGTGATATAACTTTGACTTTATGTAATATCACTCAAATATTTAACAGTAGCATTTTATCTAAAGCAGGGACTGTTTCAAATTAATATGAGGAACGTTTTATTTTAATTAAGATTGTCATTAGATCTGTTTGCGTTGCTTGCACTTTTTGCACTCAGCATCTTGGCTTTCTCTCTTTTCAACACCTAAATATATCTATTTCTATTTTAAGTTCAAAAATTTTGGAGGATATCAAGCAACATGAACAGGCCTAATATTGAAATTAGAATTATTTTGCAAAAATATATAAATCAGAAATAATTTATAAATTGCATATAAATTAAAAGATTAAGAAAGATATTTCATCTAAACATAAATTTTTTATTGTAAAGGCAGTCGTTCCTCCAGCTCAAAAGCCTTGGATGATGTTAAATTGGCAACAGTAAATGACATACCTGGACCATGTGGACCATGGAAAGAACATTATGACGCAAGACAAAAAGTTTACAATGCTCAATTAATTGCTGGTGTTGGTATACTAATTAGTACCATAGCTTATGTATGTATCAAATTTATGTTATTTCATTCAAATTAATTATATCAGATTATAAAAGGTCTGTTTGAGTTGCTCGCATTTTTTGCCCTTGGCATCTTCGCTTTCTCTTTTTTCAAAGTCAAATATATATCTATTTCATTTTAAGTGCAAAGATATTTAGGGATTTCATGCAATGCAAACAGACCTAAAATCTTATTCTTATAATGCATATCTCTTGATATATTAGGTTAGAGAAAAAGTTTCTTCGTATTTTTTAAGGTAATTGTTTAGAATCACCCCCTCCCCTATCTCAAATCTTAATAAAAATACACTTATTCGACGTGTTTTCACTCAAAACGAAAGAATCTGACAAAAAACCGTGGACGTCGGCCTCGTGAATCGAGTTATTAAGCGTTAAAGTTGAAGACTTTAGAGGTTAAAATATCTGTCATCTTGACTCAATATAGCGCTATGTATACGTTCTGCATTAATTACACAAATTCACTGCTTTAAAAACACAAATTCTCTGCTCCATAACATAAATTCACTGCTTCACAAATACAAATTCATTACTTTACAAACACAAATTTACTGCTTTACAAACAAAAATTTACTGCTTTAAGCACACAAATTCTTTGCATTAGCAGTAAATTTGCGTTTATGAAGCAAAGAATTTGTGTTTTTAAAGTAGTGAATTTGTGTTTTTAAAGCAGTGAATTTATGTAATTAATACAGAACGTGTATATAGAGCTGTATCGAATTGGGATGATAGATATTTTAATCTTTAAAGTTTTCAACTTTAATAACTCTATTCACAGGGTCGACCGTCGTGTTTTTTTGCCAGATTCTTTCGTTTTGAGTGAAAACACGTCGAA